CTGCAGTCCATGTGGGTCCTAATGCCCCAGTATAGTGAGGGGGACACTATACTGTAAACAGGCGCTGTCCTTCGGATGAGACATAAAACCGAGGTTCTGATTCTCTGTGGTCATTTAAAATCCCAGGGCGTTTCTCGAAAAGAGTAGGGGTGTAACCACGGCGTCCTGGCCAAATTTCCCATTGGCCCTCACCAATCATGGCCTCCTTATAATCCTCATCTATGAATTTTCTTCATTACTCTGCTCTCCTCCCCACTGAGAGCTCATGTGTGGTGAGTGTTCTGGCACACTATGGCTGCCGTCACATCATCCAGGTGGGGCTGCACATTGGTGGTGGTGGAGGTGAGTCCCCATTACCTGTAAAGCGCTTTGAGTGGAGTGTCCAGAAAAGCAATATATTAATTATTATTAAACACGATGATACAAGCAACATCTGAACATCTGAATGTTTTCTGTGAGTTAACTTCTGCATTTATTCCCCACAGAAACCAGAAAACAGAAAACTTCAGAGACCTTTATAAGATTCTTTATAAAAGACTTTCATTGCACTGCCAAAGAGCAGAATGTTCGTGTACATGTTTTATTTAATTGAATACCTAGAGGTATGAATAAACTAGTTTTGTGGAGTCAATCATGACAACTGACTAATCCCTTTGCTCTATACAGTCTTTTATTACAGTATAACAATTTTCTACTACACCATAACTCAATGATTTTTGTTCCCATTTCTTTTATTAAAGGTGCTTTATAATGTAAGGTTTAAAATAGTATTTATAGAGGGTATTAGCAAGATTAGACATAGACACGTAACAGGGTGTCTATAGTATATAAGGTATATAAGGCGTAAGAGAATCACCAGCATATAAAACTCGAAATGACTGCCTATTTCTATCCAAGGGATGTACTGTAAAGTAAACCATTTTTCAGTGGCTTTATTTCACCAGCTTTCCTCAATGTAAACATTTTTTTTTAATTAAAATATAAACTTTTATGAGCATCATTAAAGCATTTATTGTATGCAATTAAACATTCTTAACATTGAACTATAATATCAATTTTTGGTGGACGTATCAGTCATTCAAATAAATTATTTAAAACTTTGTTCCTTTGCATCATTGATGGATACCCTAACAATGTGTAAAAATGATCAGGTGGAATGAATCGCCGTGTAACAGCAGTTAATTTAGAAATTTAGCCAGTCATATACATTCATTTCGTGGATAAAACTTGTAAATTACTGAGCCCTTTTTGTTTAGATCAGGTGGTATAAATCGTGATACTTACGGCAGCATCGCTGTCCTCTGCTTTGGAGAGCTGAGGAATCGGCTTCTTAGGGACGACTAGGAAATGTGTTGGGGCTTGAGGCGCAACGTCGTGAAAGGCTATGCACTAAAAAGGCAGTAAGCAAACGCGCACAATTAAGGACAATGCACGGTTGTTAAGTTATCTTTTAAGTACTTACCTCTATCTTTCATTCTGCACAGACACTATAACGCAGTTTCATGCTGCTGACTCCCTTACTATATGTTCAAAACAGACCTTATGATAAAAAAAACAGTAAAAATGGTAAACTATGATTCATCAACACTAAAGAGCGATTTATTATCGTACAGTATCTCACGACTTCACATCTTTACCTATTTATACATTTTTGCTTTCCACATATTTCCGATTATACAACATAATTTTGTATTAATTAGGCTACCAGACTCTACTAACATTTCAACTACTAGTTAGTATCATTTAGAGTTTCGAAAACTTGTGGACAGTTAGATTGATTTTAATTAGCCCTTCACAGCAGATAGATTAGCTTTCAGAAACAGTCCTAAAAGTACACAAGAACACAGTACACAAGAAATTATGTCTCAGAAAACATTGAAAAGTGCTCCATTCTGAGCTGACAATAGCTAAAGCTTGACAGGTATCAAGCTCGTCCAGCACACAAATGGCCGGAAGGTATCTGATCGCTTCGAACTTTCTACGACGGCGACCCGGAACTGTCACCATTTTGCATTTATTACTTTCATAATTTACACATATGCCGCCGAAAAAAAATGATCAATCGTTTGTATTAATCCGGCTCGACCCTTCACTTCGAAACCTGTGCACCAATCGTTTAGTGTCTCCTATATCAATATGGACAATTCTTAACCGGTCGTTTTTTTTCCCTGCATTTTTATTTCCACGTTTCATAAGGCATTTAAAATAATATCCATTACTGAAATTGATTTAAATGCAAAAACATAAAATGTAAATACTTCTCAGATAAAGAAGTGAAATCGATTAGTGAAGTAAAAGGAGGACTGGTTCTATGCGAGTACTTTTATGGTGGTCCTGCGGCATAATTAGGAAAATATTAAATTAAATCTGATTATATTTCCATAAGTGCGAGACGGAATTTTGATTTGGTTTCAAAGCGATATGCCATTCCCTACAGCTAAAACCAAATATGCATCTCCATGATGACATACTATTCCACAGCTGCCCGCTTAAAACACGTCAGTATATGAATATGATGCGACAATCCTGCCAACTTTTTCATTTTTACTGAAAATTCCTTTTTACTGAATACGCGAAGTTCGCTACTTAATACATGGTGTTTAAATAGAAAATATGGATCAAAGGCCTATCTTGCACTACAAGGCCATTGCACAGCACTTCGCTCAAAACTACAACACTACTATTTTGGACATAATGAGAAAAACGATACAATTAAAGTATAACTTATTGGTGCATTAAAATAATTTACTATTAAAAATATTAAAGCTACCGGCATTATGAACCCTCTGCGTGCCTTACAATGAAAGGAGCAAGATAGGAGGGGGGGAGATATGCATAAGAAAGCCAAACCTGTTCGTCCTCATATAATATTTTTGCAGGAATCTCTTTACGAATGATCTTCCCAAAAATAGTATCACCTCCAGGCTGGGCAGTTTGTGCCTTTGCTGTTTCATCAGCCATGGCCTCAGCTACTGTACAACCCTGAGCCGCACTATTCCGAAAACAGACAGGTCCACCCGCCGGCGCTGTTTTCCAGTCCCACCGAAATGTTAGTGGTTCATGGGTGAGTAGGCGCGCCGCAAGGCCTACAAACTCATTGGGCTACGCACATGGCGATCCAAGTTGTTACCCCTCCCTCTTATCCCATTTGCGGTACTTTCTTAAATGTTTTACATGACTCAGCGTCGTTCTCTTTTTTCTGACCCTGGAACCCAATTTCATCATTTCAAGACATGCAAATTTAACATGTAGAACTGGTCTAAAAATATTATGAGCTATGCTGCAACTTATTGAAAATACATAAGGCAGACCTGCGTGTCAGTAAACGTGTGCATAAAAATGTGCGCAGAGGAGATTATGCAAAAATATTGATTTTTCATACTAGCAAGATTTAAGAGCGAAAGGTTTATTTTATTCAAAGAAACGGTACAACGGTTCAACTGTTTTAAGCATTATCTTGTGTTAAATACTGGTTCATTTTGAGTACTGTATTTATGTCCATCATACACCACTTCCTTTACATAGACGATTCTCTCAAGATGATTTATGATTACTTTTAGATGTGGCGCTGAGGTCCCTGATGTTTTAGTTGCGATTGTATTACAGATAATACGGTACGACCATGCTCTTCATCCGGAACTGCTCTTCCTATTTGTCAGTGAAAACGGAAGAGGCGGGGATAGTGAGCTGTGCGGCTGCATGAGGAAAGTCAATATGGACAGTCGATTGAAGGTTAGTGAATCTTAAGCGTTCGTGATAGTAAGTGCAGTGGCCCCAAGGTGATATTTTGGTTTTAGAAACTCTACATGATATTGCAAGAATATGTAATGATTATGATGATGGTGGCGATTTTTTGCGTTTTTGATGTGAACATCCAGTATAAGAGAATTATGTATTTTGTGTAGGTTCTGCGACTCTTCAAGTTACTGCACAGAACAAGGCAGAACGTATTCCGAGATGATTCAAGAGCCTTAGGAGGTACGGTTTATCTGAATTTAAATTAACAATACCAATAAATCCAAATAATGTCAGATAGCAATTCTTTACGACTTAGTCTCTTGCAGATGTATTTATCTCATTCTTAATGCCATCCCACTGTGTTGGATTACAAATTATGTCTTATCGGTTTGTAAAGTGAATATTTTAATCAAAATTTGCACTTCTGGGACTTGCACTGCTAACCTTGCTCTTGTTCAGCTTCTGGGAGAAATAAATTAAATGTTTGTAATTAAATATTAATAAAAAAGGTAAAATATGTTGATTACACGTTCAATCATTGTGAATAATCCTCCGTGAGTTCACAGAATTACAGTATTATGACAAGTCACAGTTCGTTTGTGTACAGACAAGGCTTTACTCTGTAATACACCTGGCTGTGTCTGTAATGTTGCTCCTTCAGCAAGTCAATTTAAAAAAGTAAGTTAAAAAAAAACAAAACTCAACCATGGGACTTTCAAAACATTTCAGAGAGAAAGTTTTAGAAAGGAACAGATCAGTGTAAGGGTATAAAAAATGAAATGATAGCAGCTTTAGTGTGAGTAATGGTAGCATTATGTTAAGGGGTTGCTTCTCATTGCCATGACTGGGTGGGTAAATGGATGGAGAAAGTGAATGTGCTTGAGTGGCCGAATCAAAGTCTTGACTGTGGCAGGAACTGCTGTCTGTTTCAGCCCCAACAACAAAATGGGACATTGTTGAAAGGGGGTGAATTCTTCTACACTTTTACAAAGTACTGTATGCCTGTAGCTCACAGCAAAATATATAATGGGAGCGATTAGCTTGATTCCAGTAGTTGCCTTTTCCTCAGTGATGGTGGTAAAGTGAAGTGGGCTATACTGTATATGGACTATAATTAGTTCCTTTTCTTTAAAGCTGCCAGACAGAAGATAAATGAAGAATTCAAGAAGAATAGAAATGAAACTTCTGTGGAAAAAATAAATGAGGTACTAATAAGTTGCCCATTCCCAAAATAAAGAACAAGGCAAAGTATTTGTTGCGTGCCATAGTTCATCAAGCTACTGGAGCTTGTAGATGTGTAAGCTGTAGGTGATCATGTTAATCACTACAGCACCGCTGTCGTACCCACAGTTAAGGGAGACCAGTTTGTAAGTTCCAGTTTCAAAAGATTCAAGTTACATTTAATGTATATTTATGAATCTCTGTGTTTTTATCATTTGAGCAGAGGTAATTTTGAGAGGTAAACACACATTAGGAGATAACTTCCTATGAAAATATATACTTTTTAAACAGGAATAATAATAATAAGTGTTTTGTTCATATAAGTTAGATTTGATCAGCCACACAAGTGTAACCATTTGTAATATATATATATAATACCAGCAGCCATATCACCCTGCAGCTCACAACTGGCGCAGAAAGCTAAGCCACTGAAGCTAAGCAGGTGTGAGTCTGGTCAGTACCTGGATGGGAGACCTCCTGGGAAAAACGTGCAAAAACATTCAATGATGGCACGTTCCATAACTAAGATGCAGCAGGAGTCTTCAGCTGTTCAGTTTAGAAATGTCAATCTCGGATGCTTCCTTTTCTTGTAGTCACAAAGTTTCCCAAGAAGCCTCTTGAAAGATAAGATGTGTTTCTTCCCAGAGAAGCATGAAATCCTTTCAAGTACCTTTGAAATAATGTTTCCTAAAATGGTCTAAATAAGTTAACTTCGATTTTCTTTAATTTAATTACCTTGCCCCCTGCCCCCCACAACAAAATATTTTTTACCATGAAACTACATGGGAAACAAGCATTACAGTTGCTAGACAGACATAGATGTTGTTCTCTGTTTCCAGATCTGATGTTTCTAAGTTGGCTTAATTGTAATGTACTGTAATGTCTAGGTTTATGGATGAAAAATAACTATGGCCATGGAAAATGTAATTTTTTCTGCCGTATTGTAAGAAAAAAAATGTCTATACTGTACTATGTAAGATGAAGTGTTACCTGTGAAACCCCAGTTCAAGAATTTCACATTTAAAAGCTGACTTTTATTAAATTCAAACATCACCCTGCTACTCACAACTGGTAATCCACTGAAGCTAAGCAGGTGTGAGGATGGTCAGTACCTGGGTGGGAGACCTCCTGGGAAAATCTAAGGTTGCTTCTGGAAGAGGTGTTAGTGGGGCCAGCAGGGGATGCTCACTCTGCGGTCCATGTGGATCCAAATGCCCCAGTATAGTGACGGGGACACTATATTGTATACAGGCGCTGTCCTGTGGGTGAGATGTAAAACTGAGGTCCTGACTCTCTGTGGTCATTAAAAATCCCAGGGTGTTTCTCGAAAAGAGTAGGGGTGTAACCCTGGCGTCCTGGCCAAATTTCCCATTGGCCCTTACCAATCATGGCCTCCTAATAATCCCCATCTATGAATTGGCTTCATTACTCTGCTCTCCTCCCCACTGAGAGCTGATGTGTGGTGAGCGGTCTGGCACACTATGGCTGTCGTCGCATCATCCAGGTGGATGCTGCACATTGGTGGTAGTGGAGTCCCCATTACCTGTAAAGCACTTTGAGTGGAGTGTCCAGAATAGCACTATATAAGTGTGAGCAATTATTATTATTAATGTACCATTCATAATGAAACTATCTTTTAATTCTTCATAATTGTGTTAACATTAACATCTGACATTTTTAGATGATCAAACTGGGTTCGGACGTTGAAATTGTTCTTCGCCAAACAGTAATCCAAGGTGTTCATGTAGATGATAACAAAATATGTAAGTAAAATGTATTTCTGAAATCATACATTCTGTATATTTATGGATCTCTGCGTTTTTATCTTTTGAGCAGAGGTAATTTTGAAAAGTAAACACACATTAGGAGATAACTTCCTAAAAAAATATATACTTTTTAAACAGGAATAATAATAATAAGTGTTTTGATCATATAAGTTAGATTTCATCAGCCACACAAGTGTAACCATTTGTAATATTTTTATAAATTATATTAATATTTATTTTTATAATATTTTTGGCATTACTCATGATGCTTGAAAATCATTTATGAAACATTGAAAAGTTTCAATACAGCTGTTAACATGGAGCTATTTAGTTCCACCTAAGGGATTGGACAGAACTAAATAAAGAATATTGTCATTAAATAAATTATCCTAAGGGATAATTTCAGCAAAGTTTATACATTGGTTATGTCTGAAAGGCATGGAGTTGATAAATGTACATTAATGCTTTCTGATATAAATATAAAACCATGTTTTTTAGCAGGTCTTTAACAGTGAGTGTATATACATGGAGAGAAAGCAAAATTTAGAAATCTTTTTCATAGTTTTCAGTGACATCAGTGAGATCTTGATTTTCTCAGTAGACACCAATACTTCCTGCTGACTGTGGTCAATGTTCACAATGGTTTTAGCATTTTATCTACTCTTATTCTAGAACAAAATACAAATAACAGTTAACATGCAAAATGCCACAGCCCATATGGTTTATAGGTTTTGTGTTGTGTGGGATTTGCATTTTATGTGGATCGGCTTTAGAAAAATGTAGTGAGTGCTAACCTTGATTTTGTGCTGAATCCTTCGGTGGTTGTTCACGTTCTGCAAGTTCTCCACTAGATGTCAGTGTTCTTATTTGCTATAAAGGCTCAGATCGTTTCACACAGAATTTTATGTATTATGAATAAAAATTGTAATCTGACAATTTCAATATAGACTCTTGTTTTTGAAGAAAAATACTAATTTTGCTCTGTTTCCTTCGAGTAGTGCTACGGCCCAGGGAAGACCATCTTCTGGAAAATGTACCTTATTGTGACAACCCCATAAAGAAAGCATAGTTTTGTTTTTGCCGTTTTGGTTAAGATATCTCCATGGTGATTTCCTTATTTTAATGGGTTTACACATTATACATTCTAAAACAACAACTAGAATGTGGGGTGGTCACCGCTGGAGGGTTTGCTGCCAGTCTCTTGTGATGCCTGAAGAATGGCTCCTGTCCTCATGGACATTACAAGGAAGAGTTCCTTTTTGAAAGAACATCAGAAAAGTTCCAAAGGAAATGAGACCATCCAGCCCATCTAGATCTTTTGGAGCAGTGGTTCAGTGTTGCTATAGAAACTGTCAGGAAGATGCAGTGCATTTTCAGTGTGACTTGTATACAGAATAAACAACTCTAAAAAATAATTGCACAAAACATTTATAAATTGTAATTACAATTTTACTGTTTTTCTTAAAGGTTGCTACCAGAGGTAAAGTGATCTGAATAAATACGTTCATATTCTAATGTCTCTTTTCTCTTTGTGTCCCTTTTTTTGTGAAAGCTTGTATTAAAACATCGATAAGGAAGATAGTGACAAATTGTATGTTTAAGATTGTTGCACAAAAAAGCTATACATGAATTGTTACAAGTAAAATTTTGAAATGTTATTAATACATTTGAAGTTCTTTATTTCCCTGCTGGTAGATAAATATTATCTACCAGCTGGTAGATAAATATTATCAAACAGTAGTTTGTCACTTTCCTGGGTGTGAATCTGTCTGTGTTCATATGTTTACCTGTTCTCCCCATGTCTGCGTGGGTTTTCGTGTTACTCTGTGGAGCATAGTTCAAAGGTAGGGTTTCTAGTTGAACCTGGCATCTCTAAATCCCCATGTGTATGTGATCCCTGTGTCTCGCTGGCAGGTCAGCTGCTCACTACAACCTAAGAAGAAAGCATAATTCGCTGAAAATGGGTGAAGTCGATTAAAATTGTAAATGATTGCATCCATAAATCATGTAAAAATAGAACATTGCAAATTGTTAATTCTTTCTAAGCCATGATTAAGTATATAAAGATGCAAAACTTAAGATAACTTATCTTCTTTAAAGACATAGGTGTTGCTCAAGAAAGCACTATCATTGTATAGTGTATGTGCATGCAGTTCCACTCTAAAGTTTGGAAAGCACTGTTTTACTAAAGTATTTCCATTCCTGTCTCCTCCATGATGAAACACTACATACCGTAAGTTAAGAGTGTGATTTTGTCCTCCTTTCACTTGGAAAATTGTCATTGATAATGGATATGCAATACCTGATGTATTAACATAGAGTACTAATAGATTAAATATTTTGGTTTCTCTAGACAAACATCTCTTACTCATCTAGTTTAGGTGGGTAGCTGCGTCAGCATGCGTAGGCTGCAAAGGAACACGCAATAGGTTTACTCCATGCTGAAAAGAGAAGAAAGAAAACGCAACGTTTCGACCATAGAGCCTTCTTCAGGTGTGTAACCCCGACTGCATATCTGATGTCCATGGCTGACACGTTGTGTTTTCCTCTCTTTTCAGCATGGAATAAACCTATCTCCTACTAATTACAACTAAGTAAACAATTAAAAGTGCTGTCTTTCCCAAAATATTAACTGCTACAAATGTGCAAGATCAAATAAGGGAAAAACCTCTCCACAGTTCAGTTTTCCTGCTGTGAGGAGGATAAGCTATTTAACTGCTGTCAGTTACTGCTGTATTTAGGGGACTGTTTCCTTCCCAATGTCTTAAAACACTTCTCACATTAAAGAGGAGACATTGATGAAGAGAGCGAAAATAAATTGAATCCAACCAAGGACCAGTGTGAACAACAGCCCCTAATACTTTTTTTCCCAGCTGTCTTATTTTCCCAAAAATACAGTAACAAGAAAATGCAAGGCAATAAAAGTAATTTTTAGGAGAAACCGAAATATGTAATCTTATGTTCATATATGCTTCACTGTCACAGCTTGTCTAATCAAAGGAAAAATGCTGTATAACATAAAAAACCTATATGTGCACACAACCTATATATAGTTTGCATACAAGGAAACTATTTTATATACGTATTTTATTTCAATTATTTTCATCTCATAGAGCAGGATGTCCCTTATATGGTATTGTTGTACACTGGATAAAGAAATACAAAAATAATATAAGACATTCTGCATTTGATCAATCAACTTACAGTACAGTGCCTATTTCAGTGGCCACTGAAGAGCTAATGCCTTGGGCCCAGTAAGTGTTATTCTATCTGCTTAAAACCGTACAGACCTTTTGATGCAATATGAAACAAAATGGGACATATGTGAGCCCAGTGGTATCTACACGTTTGGCCTTGTGCATGACTCTGAAAAATAGCACAGACACAGAGCAGATTGATATTAGAACCATGGACATATAAGCATTTCAAGAAAACTGGACACTGTTAGTACTAAATGAGGAAACGTGTATTTTAAAATGTCAGGGTACTGTAAACAAATGTTCAAATTGTTTGATTGCAATTTTAAAATATTACATATTCAGATGTACTTGGTTTCAAATGACATTTTCATTTAATAATTAATACTACTAGTTAAAATATGAAGTTCACTATTAAAAAGATCAGGTCCAACACATACTGTAGGTTACTGCTTTTCCTTGCAGCAAATCCTAGTTTTCATTACCATGTAATTTCTAAGAGCTCAGAAACACATTTTAACAGGGTGAAAGCCTGCATAAGCTCACGAGTTCTGTTAAAAAGATTTTTTTGAAGAAATCTACTTCAGAAGGATATAAGAGTCAGCGTCATATGCATTTAATTAACTGCAGTATCTGATTATCTTTCATCAGGTCTTTTAATACAGTTTCCGTAGATATCTAGTTTGAGTCATCTTTCAGAAATGCTGTTTGGATCATTTGCCACATGTTATGGAGTTACTCTCAAGACTCTCTAATCTTTACTGCAGGTCTTCCTTTGACAGATTTATTCAGTGTTATAAAAAAACATTAAAACCCCTTGTAAAATACTCTGAATACCCACTTGTGTAAAATTTGTTCCATTAGTTTGCTCCAAATACAGTTTAAGAACAAAGCTCATATATTTTGAATGTAATATTATGCAAAAGCATATGTGCATTTAAAGTTTCATTACTACAGTATGTCTCCAATTTTGTGTTTTACTGTATAGTTCAATTATAGATTTCTTATTCAGTAACAGATTAAAGCATCTTACTACTTAATGGGTGTGGAAATCAGCAGTCTACTTTCCTTTTTGTAACACCTATATTAAAGTATTATATGGTATGTTGGAAGAAGGCCAAAGTTTCTGTTCAACTGTGCAAAGGTTATCTTTTCATTTCATGGTTATTGTCCATCCATCACAGCTGGTTGGCACGAGTGCCATAAAATCCAGGCAGTGGCTAAGAATAACTCATGATCACTTTTCCCACATTCCACTTTGAAGTTCCTCCTTTGAGATTTTCAGTTTGAAGAGCAGGGCAATGCCAATTTAATTAACTTCACATTGACTTCATTATCAATATCATTCAGCCTTTCCTTTTTGATGAGTTTTTCTTTATGCACGAGCTGAGGCAAACTGTTTACGTGCATCATTGGACATAAAATCTTTAGCATCAATTAGTAGAAGCCTTAAACATCAGTCATTTCAGCAAAAAGTAGAAAACATCAGTTGTTACTGTTACACTGGCTTTCAGTCTTGGTATTTTATTACAGTTTTTATTCACTCAGTTAAGCATTTTGATTAAAATCTGTTCAGAATTCACATAAAGCCCTTCAGCTTTGTGCAACTTGTCCAATCTATTAATTGCAAGCTGCATACTGTAGGCTGCAATTGTACTGTAATTGTCCAGAATAAATGTAAATAAAAATATATGAAGAAGATAAAAGTTAATAATTAAATAGATAACTGAAATGGCCCCTTGCCTGTCTTGTTAGCAACAGTGTCTCACAAATTATTTATTGTTTTAAAGAGCACTTTCAAGAGACAGAACAGAAATCTAAGATTTCAGTAGGGTAGGAGGACATACAATATTAGGAGAATAGACAGTGTTTTAATTTTTATCAACAGGCACAGCCCACCTGGATGATATACAATAAACTTACACCTACTGCAAATCTACTTTCAGATTCCTAATTTGAATAACAATTATTTCATTATATTTATTTTTTCATATTTTGGTACAATTTGCCATATTATCTAGTTCCTGTTAATATCCACCCAAAAACATTGTGTTCATCTGAATGGGAGAAAATGGGGTAGGGAACAATACATCAGTGGAAAATACTTCTGTATGCACTGCTTATTGGCTACACTTTCACATCTCAACAAAACCTGGTGAAGAAGGCTCCACGGCCGAAACGTTGTGTTCTCTTTTTTCTTTTCTTTTTTTCAGCATGGAATAAACCTATTACTTGTTCCTTTGCAGCCTACGCATGCTGATGCAGCTACCCACCTGAAGTACTTTAAAAAATAATGTTTCGTTTATGAATTGTTAAATGTTTATGAAACTACAGTTCAGAGGAAGAAAACTGCACACAAAACAGAAAATAGCACCTAAAATAAAAGTAATAGTAGAACAAAATTGATTTTGTCTGCTTCTTTGGAGATACATGAGATAGAATAATTATCAATCAAAATGAGTTGTGCTACTCTAGGCATATAGCCCATTATGTTTCAATTAATAGTAGTGGTGTTATTTGCAGACTATCAAAGTGGTGTTGTTTGTAGAAAATGATTCCAATTTATTTCCATAGTCATTTTGAATTTGTTCCTAGACCCTAGTTGATTTATTGAACTTTCTTTACAGTCAGCAAATGTACAGCTACAGCATTTTATTCAGCCCTGCCTTCTGCTGTAGAAGGAGATATACAATACACTGATTAATTTGTGTAGTGTTTTTTTAAACTGAAATTATCATCATAGTACTTTACCTGTGAGTAATAAGTATTGAGAAGGCATTTTGTCTCCAATAATAATAATAAGATCCTTTATTTTAAATTATATGCAGCATAGAGATGTTTTGATAGCATTTCCAGTATTCAGCCAAAATAAATTTCAAGAAAACCATAGTCTGTACTTTACTTTAAACAACCTTTTAAAGTACTGTTAATGTTTGGAAGTAATTGAAGCAGGTCCATCATCTAAAATGTTCTCCAAACATAAGGTTTTGTCGAAGCCTATATATATTAAATAATTATTTTATTTTATTAAGTAGATTGATGTATATTATCTTACAAAATTTTATTTTCTGTTGCCAAGTATTTTAGTCTTGATTATATACTATTCTGCAGATTGAACCATGTTAAAATAAAATGTTGAAAATAAAATAATAATAATAATAATAATAGCTTATACTTATATAGCGCTTTTCTGGACACTCAACTCAAAGTGCTTTACAGGTAATGGGGACTCTCCTCTACCACCACCAATGTGCAGCATCCACCTGCATGATGCAACGGCAGCCATAGTGTGCCAGAAACGCTCACTACACATCAGCTATCAGTGGGGAGTAGAGCAGAGTAATGAAGCCAATTCATAGATGGGGATTATTAGGAGACCATGATTGGTAAGGGCCAATGGGAAATTTGGCCAGGACTCCGGGGTTACACCCCTACTCTTTTCAAAAAACACCCTGGGATTTTTAATGACCACAGTGAGTCAGGACCTCGGTTATACATCTCATCCAAAGGACGGCACCTGTTTACAGTATAGTGTCCCGTTGCTATACTGGGGCATTAGGACCCACATAGACCGCAGGGTGAGCATCCCCTGCTGGCCCCACTAACACCTCTTCCAGCAGCAACCTTAGTTTTTCCCAGGAGGTCTCCCATCCAGGTACTGACCAGGCTCACACCTGCTTAGCTTCAGGAGGTTACCAGTTGTGAGTTGCAGGGTGATGTTTGAATTTTATAAAAGTCGACTTTTAAATGTGAAATTCTTGAAATGGGGTTTCACAGGTAACACTTCATCTTACAGTATAGACACATTTTTCTTTTTTTACATTTTACTTTTTCTATTTTCTTACAATACGGCAGACAAAATTACATTTTCCATGGCCATAGTTATTTTTCATCCATAAACCTAGTTACAGTACATTACAATTAAGCCAATTTGGAAACATCAGAGTTGGAAACAGAGAACAACATGTATGTCTGTCTAGCAACTGTAATGCTTGTTTCCCATGTAGTTTCATGGTAAAAATATTTTGTTGTGGGGGGTAGGGGGCAAGGTAATTAAATTAAAGAAAATCGAAGTTAACTTATTTAGACCATTTTAGGAAACATTATTTCCAAGGTACTTGAAAGGATTTCATGCTTCTCTGGGAAGAAACACATCTCATCTTTCAAGAGGCTTCTTGGAAAACTTTGTGACTACAAGAAAAGGAAGCATCTGAGATTGACATTTCTAAACTGAACAGCTGAAGACTCATGCTGCATCTTAGTTATGGAGCCTGCCATCATTGAATGTTTTTGCAAAAATCCAGTCAAATCAAATTTGAAGTATCCTGGAGACAAGGGAATTCAGAGAAACAGTGATTTAATAATACATGAGAATACAATTACTGTCCACGATCTACTTGCAGTTTAGACAACTGAATAATATAATTCCTTTAAAGTAAAAAACAGTACACAATTGTTTTCAAAATTGTCTCCCTGTCAGAGCATTCTAAATGATTATCAGGAAGTATGCTCTACGTTAATTTTAAATGTCTTCTTCAATGCTGTTACATAACCCTGCAGAAGCTCATACAAACTAAGATTTAATTTTAAATATTTAAAAATTAAAGTATGCTGTGGTGTTTCAACTGTTTCTCTTGACATCTAATAACTTTTAACATTGAGATTTACTCTCTATTAAAACCACAAAGGTATTTAGTTGATTTTTTGTGCTGAAGACTTGGTACTCCATGGAATGTTTTACTAAATGATGTACTGTTTTATGAAATGAGTAGTATAAGTTCCTTTCCACTGTTCCACTGTGGTCATTGAATAGCTGAGAGATGCATACAGCTGAACTGTTTTCAAGTCCGTATATTAATGCAATGTAAATTGATCACCAATGACTTACAGTACACTTCTTATAAAAGATATTTCTCATTTAAATGTGAAAAAAAAACATTCATACAGAAAATTTTAACAATAGGCGATTGCATGTGTATGTTATATTAACAGTACAATATGTGTAAAATGGCAAGGTGCTGCATTATGTGTCAAACTGAAAATTTCATTCCATAATGGACGTTTAATGGAATGGAAAATTAGATTAAGTTTTAATCAGAATTTTAAAAACTTTTCTGCAAACCCTGCTTTAACCGTGAACCCATTTTATTACAGACTTTCTAAAAACTGATGTCCCGGTTTTAATACGTATTTTACTCTGTGATATCACAATTAAATAAACAGCCTTGAATTAGCAGGAACTCTTGCCAGTTTGCTGCGTATGCTATGACATGTGCATTCCTGAAATCAATGACAATTAAATTAATTAATGACAAAACAAGATGGTTCCTCTGAGCATTGTGCCTAATAATGCATCCAGGAGTGACAGTATACATGATGATCTACGCTCTTCTCATGTCCTATTGCTCTCATTGTTTCCCTTAGCTTTGAAGAGTCCCCTAAATGTATCACTGTTATGTATTTGGTAACAATATAATGCATTTATATATGTACAAACTAAAGAATATTTAATTTGGGATTAAACTATCTTCAATTCATTAGAATAAAATAAATCACCCCTCCCTCCACTTCTCTATATTACATGATGTTGATATACTTGTTATAGTTGATATACTGTACCTCATGTTCTCTTAAACTGTACTGTACATTAAACAAGAGGACATTGTTGTTGTTGTTGTTTTTCAGTAGAAATCAGAACATTAAAACCACAAACAACGTGATATTTTTTTTGTGGAGTGCCACATAGATATGTGCTAGGTAGGACGTTTTCTCGAATTTCTCTCAGTGATCTTGACTGACTTGCTTCTTAACTTGGAGGTAAAACAAATATCGAGGACGAGTGAAGGTGGTTTCAGAGCATACTGTATACAGTAAAAACAGTACACACACAAAAGAAACTTACTGGCAGTGGCATATTCATGGGGGAGGGGGGTTTGAGAAAGTATTGTAGGCACACAGTAAGAATGTGTTTCAAATACTGTGTAAGTAATATACATACAGTATACAGTACAGTAAGTATGTCAGAAAGCGATGATCTTGAAGAAGAAACATATCAGGAGAAAGAGCATAACAAAGGGGTGTATTCTAATTAAAAGTCTGTGTAATTGTAGAATAAGGTTAGGGACATTCTTTCTTCAGAAAAAGAAAACACTTTATAACAGTTTGTTAGTGAAATTTCCTTCGAATTTGGGTTCGGGAACAATCTGCTAACTAGACACAGGGATTGGATTTGTAGACCACGAGTGTGAGTCTATGTCGGATTGAACACGTTTTTAGTGTTTTTATGTACACGTATGTATGTTTACATGTCTGTCGTCTTATTGTACCTTCCTATTTGCCACTTTGGCAGTGTTAATCATGCTGTTGTTCTATCAATATAATTGTTTTGTAGTTACTAGGTGTTTTTTTCTACTCTGCTTTTGTGCGATAACTTCGTCGGTGTCAGTAGGATCGAAGTACTTTTGTTCCAAAAACATTAAAAAAATATTACATTTGTGACAGTTGTTTTCAGATTTTATTTTAAACACAATTCAATTAATATTCAAAAACTGGAGAAACATAAAAGTGCTTAAAAAATCTTTATTTAACCACAGAAATCAGAGGGGACAAGTCACTTAAACTCTCTTCCTTAAATTTCCTTAAAGCTATACTGTTTGTATCACTAAGTGTTAGACCACCGCGTCCATCAAACTTTGCCATTCCAAGTGTTCATTAAAACAAAACTCATGAACCACTGCGAGGATACGTTCCGCTTTGCAAAGTCACTAGTACGAGCCAAGAATGTCCTTTTTTGCTCCACGCTAAACTCATTGAGTGTGAGGCGAAATTGAGGATCCTCTTTTATGGGGCAAGCAAATAACTCAGTAGAGGTGGAGGAATTCACCCGCCAAGGGAGGCGCTGTGCTCTCTTTTTCTCCGCGCCTGTGTCCGTGACTATGTGGGAGTGTCCGTATGCGAGAAGTCCCCTCCTTTCAGATACTGATTTCTCCTGATTCAAACCCATAGAAACGGCAGCGGCAGTGTTTCAGTCTTCTGTAGCACCGCGAGTCGCCATCTTCAGCGACCTCTGCTTCTCTCTCACCTCTTACGTTTTCTATGCACACACACAAGTCATATTGGGGAATCAGAGCACGTCCACTGACGGACAGCCGGTTTTGTTATACCGCTGAAATCAGATTCTCCGCATTGTGGAGGCGAGGACTGCAACGGGTTATCGGAAGACAAGAGAATATTGGTAAGACAGCAGTTTTATTTAATTATTTACATTAACAGATGAATGATGTGGTTTATTGCCCGGGGACCGATAATTCATTATGTTAATGGACTTTTTTCATTTAATTTTTTGCTTGTTGAGTTCTGTTGCTCGCTTTGTGTAGGGTGTGGGTACAATAAGATTGAAAATATATTCTGAAGAAGATGGAAAAAATAAAAAGAGCAGATTAAATGAAAATTTCCTCCAGGAGGGCTGACATTGTCTAGATACTGTATTGTAGTGTTGTAACTGATTTATTCGTCCATTCATTCGTTCCATTTAATATAATTCGATATATAATTGTTTTTGTATTAGGATACTACCTACACATAATGAATATGGGGTTCTCTTACTACCCAGGTCCTCTCAGTTATTTGAGCACTAGAAACAAAATGTCAATCCACCCTGTTTGCAGTGTGATCGCCTAAGGGGTTTGACGTAGTGTGGGAATCCTTCTCCCCGTTGTGAAGCGGAATTGTGCCAATGTGGTGCGTGAAACTGGGTAGAGTTTTTTTTTTTCCCGCAAGGGTCCATTGTACTGTCCTTAAAGACGCTTTGAGGGTAAATGGTGTTTCAAAAGCTTTCCGTTTATTTTCAAATTTATAGTAATTTGTATTCGGTCAAATACGTCTGGGTGCGTAAATGCTGGCAGCTCCAACTGCAAAACTCAGCCATTCACCCGCGGACCTGGTCTGCGGAGATAAGCTCGAATATAAAACAGGATTACTTCCTACTCGCAGTATGTTCACGACGTTGTCACCATTTACATCAGGACATTTGTCTAATCCGATTGATTAGAAATTCCAGATACAAATGCTAGAAGAACAGATTGCAACTCATTCACTTAACTGGGTTTCGCGTGTTCCTGGAGGGCGGTTGGTGCCTCAAGTTTTGAGTGTCCGTGATGTAGTGATTTTTTTACACGTTCTGTAGTGCAGTTGTTTGTTTGTTTTCTGTATCAGCTAACAGCAACTTCATTGTTACTTTGCTGGTCGATATATCAATTTATAGGCCGTGCAGTCCATTGGGGGGAATGTCGGTATTCGAGCAGTGATTGCCACACGTTTCTATTGGTTCCTGCTAGCTCTGTTGCTTTCTTTCTTCGGGGGAAAAACATGTAGATTAGATTATCAATGTTTTCATGCTCGTTCGTCAAAAATACTGTACACTAAGATCTGCCTTTAGAGCCTGTCAGATTTTGGGTTCGCTACTCTGTTTTGTTTCCAGTGTTTGAGGCGGCTACAAATCAGGTCAATTGTGATTTTTTTTAAGGGAAGTTAAAACATTACTAACGCAATTAAATAGCACATAGGTGAGCTTTCTGTTTTTTAACTAAGGCACATATTTGATACAAAGATTTTTTGGGGTATTTTTCCCAGGTTACATATAATTGCTGTGTATACCAAAACTTGGTGAATGCTTATTAGGGGAACCCTACTCCACTGTCTACACTACCCCAAATAGCAATGAATGAAACCTGGAGTTAAGTTATGGGCTACTGAGGAGCTTCAGGTTACAAGTTGGTAATAGATGTCCTACTAATAGTATGCTTCCCCATGGGGTGAGGATCGCTTTTCTTAAGAAGCTAACTCCACTCCATTTGTCTATAGTGCAAAGGTGGACTGTAATGTGCAGTACATGCTAATTTCTAGTGAGCAGGAACAGCGCTGAGACCAGAGTGGACTGTGATGCACAAATGATTATAGTGTATAGTCTGCATGCATTGGCACTGAATGGTTTTCCTGTTGTGGTTGTTTCCCAATGAAGACTGAAATGTTCTGTTGTTCAGCATTCTATACACCGAGTCAGTATACAATAATAAAATATTTCATACCAGTAATTTTGCATCAGCCTGCTTTCCCTCTGAATAAGTTTAACTTTCCAAGTCTTAGAGGTCAAGTGTAAATGTATAGCTTAAGGATAAGTACAGTGCTCTTTAAAATATATGAATCAAGAACTTGAAAACATGTTGTGTTTGATGTCATCCACTGTGAATTGAGTTTCTCATTGTCCCTTGTGCCATACATTATAAAAAGCTAATTGTTATGTTAAATATCAAAAGAGACATGGTAAGTCTTTTTCACGGAAGTCTGGAAGCTTCACAGATCTTTGTGTATGTGCATCTTTGTACACATTTGTATCCGGCTGCATGTATGGGCAGTATTTTGTAAGTATTTAGCTACTTTACTTTTAACAGGATTAAATTTTGGAGAAGATAAACTTTCTTTTTTTTTGTATTCAGTTATAAAGATGCAAAAGGCAAAAACCTTCATGGTTAAAAAAGATGTCATTATGTACTGCAGTTGTAAGGAGAATCTTTAAATAGCCCTGTATACAGTAAATAAAGTCTGGAGAGAACACATTTCATGACAGCTTCATTTTAACTTTGAAAACTCACAGGCATAAAAAGACAGACAACTTGCTTTTGGAAGTCGATATCATCAAAACACACTTTCATTTTTGACATGGCGACAAAAGGGATTTTTTTTATTTAAAAAAATAAGAATAGCTCAGGGAGGCTAAAACTGTGGGCAAAGCTCAGTTTTTGCAGCAAGTGCTAGAAATAGGAATCAGGCTGGCCCGAGCATGTCTACCTTATCCTGAAACAATCTTGTTAAGCTAAATATCAAATATGGAGTCTTTCCAATTGGTTAAAGAGGGGTCAGATACAGTGCCCTGTAAAAGGAAAGAAAAAAAGCTCATTGTTTTAAAATGCAGGACAGTCACTAAGGTAATCTTCTTATTGGCTAACATCACTTAGATTGTGTAAATGTATTGCTTGTAGATATTTCACATTTAGAAATTATTATATTCAGTGTGGCTATATGTGTTCTATGAAAAAAAGACCATTAAAAATATTTGAATACTTATCCAGCTACAGTATGTCAGAGTCTTTATTGTCACGTGAATGTACTGGAACCCTGTGCTCAGTATAGGATAATTAGTGAAAATGATAATGACCCTTCATTGTTTTATTAACAGTGAAGTCTGTTGTCCTAAATGTTCATCATTAGAGTGGCATGGTGGCACTGTGGTTAGCATAATGGGGGACTTGGGATCAGTTCTGGCCCTTTGCTGCTATCTGTGTGAAATTTGTATGTTCTCCTTGTGTTTGCAAGGGTTTCCTCCAGGTGCTCTGGTTTCCTGTCACAGTCCAAAGATGTACTGGTACGTTAATTGGCTTCTGGAAAAATTGCCCCTGGTGTGTGTATGTGTGTGTGATGGATGGGTGTTCTGTCCAGGCTGTATCCTGCTTTGAGCCTGTTGCTTGCTGGGATAGGCTTTGGCTCTCCTGCGACCCTGAATTGGATGAAGCGGTAAGAAAATGGATAGATATTCATCATTAATCTGTTACAGTATCTTGATTTATGGAATAATAAGGGTAGGATGTGATCTGTCAACAATTCTATTTCATGTTGCAGTAAATTCCTGCCTGACTCGCTGGCTTTATCTCTAAATCCTTCTGTTTTGAGAAAGTGCTTTATCCTTGGTGGGCCAGTGCCCAAACTGACAGCCACAGGACACAGTAAACACTAGTCCATAACAGCACAAATGCACACAGGGTCATTTTAGAGATGCCTACTAACCTGGGCATGTCAAATGGAAACAGTGCATGCTAATCATGAAGGGTGAAACATCTGCTCACAGCTTTGTTTTAAGGCACCTCTGCACTGTTTCCTTGATTTAAAAACTATAGTATTGCCTGGACATGTGGAGGTATTCACGTAGTACTGAAAACATGGGACTGGATAGTTTTTCATTGAATGTTTGTCTTTTTTTGTGTGTTATTGCAATGTGTATTATTTGCTGTCAGCTTAAGTATTGTTTCATGTTCACATGAAAAAAATGTACTGTAAGATTGTACTTGTTGTTTTTTTCCCCCCAGGAGAGAAAGAGGTTGTCTTTCATTTCCTCTTAATTAAATGGTACACAAGTCCTGTTCTTTTCAGGGCCGCATTCCCATAGGCTTTTCAGACATCTTTTAAATGTAGGCTCCATGCTGTAGAAACCTCATGTCTTTGTATCTGTAAATAGTTAAAAAATAAGGAATAAATACTGTGAGAAGATATACTGCCATTGAGAGCTCGGCCACAGTCTACAGCCTTAAACTGAAGATTGCGATGGGTAAATATTTAAGAGTCCAACCATTTACTCTGATTCTGCATTAGGGTTTTTTATGTTTTACTTGGCTCAAACTCTTTTCTGACTCATAGTGTAATAAAACCTGCTTTTTGTTGAGCTTAGAACAGAATCGCTGAGAAGGCTGAGAATGTGAGACCCTGCACTACTAAGGCCGAAAGCGGTAAGCATGCCCTAACTATTGTAGGTCGTCTGTCATTGCTGAAGATCTCAGAGAGTACCATTTAGTTGAATAATTCTTTTGAATATTTTATGTTCAGTCTTTTTGGCAGCACAGTGATGCAGTGCTTAGCATTGCTGCCTCGCAGCGCTGGAACCCTGGGTTCATTTCCAGGCCCTTAGGATTCTGTCTGTGCAGAGTTTGTACGTTCTCCCCATGTAAGAGTGGGTTTCTTTTGGCTGCTTCAGTTTCCTCCCACTGTTTAAAAACATACTGATAGGTTGATTGGCTTCAGGGAGAAATTAGTCTTGTGTAAGTACGTACTGCCCTACGGTGGACTGGCATCCCATCCAGGATGTACCCTGCCTTGTGCCCGTTGTTTGCTGGGACAGGTACCAGCTCCCCCGCCAACCTGAAATGGAAGATGCGGTTAGAGAATGCATGGATGGGTGTTAGACCTTTTCACCACTGTTTCATCTTTTTTTGTCAAGTTTGAGATTGTTAGTTTATTCACACGGTCTTCCCCCGCAGGTCTGATTTAGTACGGTCCTTTTGTTTGTGACTTCCACTAATGGGAAATGGTGAGAAATTATTAAATCGATTCTTAAAGTACTGCAGTGGTCTGATACAAGGGTGTATCCTGCCTTGCACACCTTGCTTACAAATATAGGCTCCAGTGTCC